TGCTCCAAGGCCTGTCCAGCCTGGCCTTGGGCACTGCCAGGGATCCAGGGGCAGCCCCAGCTGCTCTGGGAAATCCATCCCAGCCCCTCCCCACCCTGAGAGGGAGGAATTCCTGCTCAGTCTCCCATCCATCCCTGCCCTTTGGAAGTCATTCCCTATGTCCTGCCCCTCCATCTCTGTCCCCAGCCCCTCTCCAGCTCTCCTGGAGCCCCTTTGGGCCCTGGAAGGGGCTCCAGGGTCTCCTTTCCCTTCTGCTCTCCAGGTGAGCACCCCCAGCTCTCCCAGCCTGGCCCCAGAGGGGCTCCAGCCCTGCAGCAGCTCCGTGACCCCCTCTGGGCTCTCTCCTCATCCTCCCTGGGTGGGACCCCAGGGCTGGAGCAGCTCTGCAGGTGGGGTCTCACCTGGGCACAGGGGGACAATGACCAGGGGGAGTTTCCTGCAGGACAGAAACCCCCCAGGGGTGTTTCTAGTGGGAAACAGGAGGGAATGAACCCCATCTGGGCAGGGAGATGGAGAGGGGACCCCAGAGGCCACGGTGGGCACCTGAGCAGGGCTGAGCCTCCTCCCCCTGTCCCCTGGGAGGTGACAGTGCCTCCCCTAGCCCAGCTGCCCTCTGGAGCACCTTTGGCTCCCTCATGGTGCCCTGGAGCTCCCATGGCTGCGTTTGGAGGGTTTTCCCAGGTTACATAAGCTGTGTCTCATCTCCTGATTTGGGTGTGAGCTGATTAAAGCTGAGTTCACCTCACACTCAATGAGCAGCACTGACCCCGCCAGCAGCCTGGAAACCCTGGAGCCGGGAGATGCCAGCACCTGGGAGCTCCACTCTGGGCTGGGGGAACCAAGGACTGGAATCCCAGCTTCAGGGCTCTGGGATGGAGCCCCAGGAGTGACAGCCCCACCCAGACATGGCCAGGAACATCCCAACACCTCCAAATCCACCCCACTGGGTATCACATAATGGAAACCCCCACAACCACCTGGCCTCCAAGGGGAAAATCCCAGAATTCAGCCTCCATGGTGCCCTGAGCATCCTCCCTGGTGTCAGATATGGGGCTCTGCAGTGTCTTCCTGAATGCTCTGCAAGGAAGCCTCTGGAGCTTCCCAGGGGGCCTTCCCAAAGTGAACCCTCCAAGGTACCCTGGACATCCCTCCAGGTCTCACTAGGAGTTTCTGTTCCCCTGGAAACTCCCCAGCTTTCTCTGGCTTTCTGCAGGAAATACTCAGGTATTTATTTCGACCCTGGTTTCTAGAGCCATTTTTGGGGAAGTGTTTGGGGCCAACCATGGATTGGTTGGCCAGCTGGGGCTGGCCATGGGTCCCTGGCAGTGCCCAAGGCCAGGCTGGACACTGGGGCTGGGAGCAGCTGGGATGGTGGGAGGGGTCCCTGCCCAGCCTGGGATGGTGGGAGGGGTCCCTGCCATGGCAGGGGTGGCACTGGATGGTCTTTGAGGTCCCTCCCAACCCAACCAACCCAACCCAACCCAACCCAACCCAACCCATTCCATGGTTCCATGACCTTCCCCAGCTCCCCCTGGACTCTTTGGAGTGATGCTTCACATGCAAGACAGTGTTGGAGAACCCTTCCCACATCCCCACATCCCCACATCCCCACCCAGGCTGTGTGGAGCACACAAGGCCACAGGAAAAGCCAGGGATACTCACTAGGAAGCCCAGTACCAGGCAGAGTGGGTCTGGATGTAGCCCTTGACTGGTTCACTGCAAGGCAAGGACAGATCCTGAGCAGGGAGAACCCGGTCCCTGAGAGCTCCCTGCTCAATGAACCCTGGAACAGCCTGAGCAGGGGATTAAGACCCAGCCCTGGGTGAATCCTCAGGCAGCCTGAGCCTGTGGAGAGGAATTCCAGCTGCCAGGTGGGAAGGGCAGCCCTGCTCCCCCAGTTCCACACTGGAGCTGGCTGGGAATGGCTCCCACAGGGGATTAGGGAGCCCAAATCCTCAGGCTGGCACTGATCCATTATTTATTCTGGAGGCAACATGAGCCATACACACCCAGAGCGCTCGGTCATCCGAGCTGGAGAGGGGGATGAGCAGGGGAGGGAAGGCAGCCCCTGGAGCTGGGATCTGGTGACTCCCACAGGGAAAACCCAGCAGCCACTGCCAGAGGCAATAACCCCTAAGGGATCACCCAGAATGGGGGATCCAACCCCGAGCATGGGTGGGAATGGGGGCAAAAGGGACCTCTGAGTGCTCCCTCAGGTCAGCTTTTCTCTTGGAACAGCCAGAAAGGACCCACAGGGAAAACCCAGCAGCCACTGCCAAGGGCAGCAGCCCTGGGGATCACCCAGAATGGGAGATCCAACCCCGAGTGTGGGTGGGAATGGGGGCAAAAGGACTGAGGGACCCCTGAGTGTCCCCTCAGCTTTGCTTTTCTCTTGGAACAGTCAGAAAGGATCCAGGTGTGACACAACCCCCAGGAACCTGCCCAGAGCCCTGTCAGAGGTGGCCCAGGACACACCCAGCACCCACCAGAAGGTGAAGAAAGCCACGATGACCACGGTGACCAGGAGCTGGACCATCAGGATGGCATACACCTGCAGGGAGAGAGGTGTGATCCATGGATCCCAGAATCCAGCAGAGCCAGGCCCTCCAGGGCTGGGGGTCCAGCTCTGCCAGCCCCGAGGGCAAGGGGTGCGTCCCTGCCTCACCTTCCTGATGAACACCCTGCGCACGTTGCGGTCATCCCAGCTGAAGGTGGTGAGCAGCTCCGTGTCCCCCGGGTACCCTCCGCTGCCATAGCTGGGGCTGCTGCCTGCAGGGAGGCCAAAGGAGCAGCTCCTACCCAAATCCCACCCAGCCATGGGACCTGAGCCCAGGGAGCCACCACAGCTCAATCTGGTGCCTCAAACCCCCAGAGGTTCCTTGTGGCATACATGTTCTCTGAAAAAATCCCTTCACCCAGGATTTTTCTCATGGGAAGCTGAGAAGCCTCAGAGAAAAGGAAAACAATTCTTATCTCATTTGCTTCTCCTGTGTTGTGCTCACATGTGGAATGTGTTTGGAGATTGCTTCATTGGATTCTGATGTGAATTATTTTGACTCTTTGGCCAATCAGGGCCAAGCTGTGTCAAGACTCTGGAAAGAGTCAAGAGTTTTCATTATTAGTTTTTTAGCATTTAGTAAGTATTCTTTCTGTATTCTTTAGTATAGTTATATTATATATATATAATATAATATATATATAATAATATATAATATATATATATATAATATATATAATAATATATATATTTATATATATAGTATTCTTTAATATAATATATTAAAGAATATTAATTAAGGATATTAATATTAAAGAATATTAAATATATTATTCTTTAGTATAGGTATATTATATTAAATTATAGTATTAATTAATATAATATAGTATTACAAAGTAACAAATTAGCCTTCTGAGAACATGGAGTCAGATTCACCATTCCTGCCTTCATTGGAACATTTCCCAGCAAATATAAAAGTTCTGCTCCCTTCCCACTCCTGCTGCTGCTCAGGAGCATCCCTGGGAGCAGAGGGGGGACATTCCCACAAACCACCCCAACACCAGGGGCCACTTCTGAGTGTTCCCTCAGCTTTGCTTTATCCTTGTCTGAGCAAACACCAAAGCTTCCACAGCAATGGGAGGGCTGCAATCATCCCTTGCTCTCCTTCCACGGGATATTAAAGCATCCCCAGAGCAGCTGTGCCTCAGCATTCCCAGAGCAGCTGTGATTCAGCACCCAGCGGAGCAGGAGGAGTCCCTCGCTGCTCTCCTGAGCTGTGTTTGCATCCTGGCTTTGTCAACAACGCCTCAGCTCTGAGAGCAGCTCCTGGCAGCTCGCTGAGCTCCATCCCTCAGCCCCATTTCCATGCAGGGACTCAGGTAACAGTTAAGCACCAAGCCTGGGAAAGGAGGAAACAGCTCCAATGCTACCAGTGAGAAAAACCTTCCCCCAAACCCTCAAATCCCTGCACAAGTCATCTCTGCTGAGCCAAAACTGGAACAGCAGCTCCTGTTGCTGGGTTTCCTTTCCCCATCCCTGGCAGTGCCCAGGCCACGCTGGATGGGCTTGGAGCAGCCTGGGACAGTGGGAGGTGTCCCTGCCATGGCAGGGGTGGCACCTGGATGGGCTCAAAGGTCCCGTCCCACCCAAACCATTCCATGGCTCCATGACCATTCTGTGCCCTCTCTGCTTCCCTCCAGTGCCACTGAAGTCCCTCTTGCTGGGTTTCACAGAAGGATTTTTGTGTGATTTTCCTGCTTTACATTCCTGTCCCTACCTGGTCCACAGACACCTCCCCTCCTCCTAAAGCTTCTGAGCTCAGGGATGCCCAAACCCTTCAGGAAGATGGAACAGAGACCTCTCAATCTCAGAGCAGACACCAGGAGAGCCAAACTCAAAGTCCTGATCCTGATTTTCTCCTGTTTTCCTGGTTAAAACTGCTCATTCAAAATGCAGGAGCCTCACTCAGATGCCCCCAGCAGGAAACAAGTCCCTGGTGCTGTTCTGTTATCAGTAAATCCCTTGGTCCCTCCTTCCTGCCCCACTGGAGCTGAACCTCCTGTGTGTTCCCCTGGATCCCTCATCGGTCCCTGAGTACCTGGGCAGGGAGAATTCCTGGGAATTCCAGGCCTCCTGCACCAAAGCAGTCCCAGCTCCTAAACAACACCCAGCTGGCCCCTAAACACCAAATTGGCCTCTGAACACCCAACTGGCCCCTAATTGTCCCCTAAACACCCAGCTGACACCTAAACACCAAATTGTCCTCTAAACACCAAATTGGCCCCTAAACACCCAACTGTTTCCTAAACACCCAACTGGCCCCTAAACTCCAAATTGGCCCCTGAACACCCAATTGTCCTCTAAACAGCAAATTGGCCCCTAAACTCCCAGCTCACCTCTAAANTATCCCCACTCACTGAATTTTGAATCCTGTGGGAAAGGGAGCAAATCCCTCATTCCAGGAGCATTTTTTCCCTCAGTTCCTCACCCATGACACCTGTTCCAGATCCTTGTGCTTTTATTGCTGTGTGTGGGATGTTCTCCTTACTCATAACCAGGGAAGAGGTGACTCGGGCTCCGTTAAACCTCTGGGCCATGCCAGGGCCTTGTTTACATCTGAAGGGGTGAAGCAGCACCTGCACAACCAGAGCAGCAACAGGCACGGGAAGAGTTTTGCAACCATTTATTAGCAATAGTCAGAGAAGATACAAAATCCTATTTACAGTGAAATCACAGGAACGACCTCTCCAAAGGTTTGGGATTTGGAGCTGGATGAGGACTTGGGGTGGAGGACACAGGAGGAGGGGGAGCAGCCTCCATATCCCACCCCAAATCCTGCATCCCTCACCCTCCTGAGGAGCTCCAGCTCCACGAGCAGGACAGTGCTCAGCATCCACCAGGACTGGCGTGGAAAACGGGCCAGGAATTGTGCAAGGGATGCAGGAGGGAAGAAATCCCTCCCAGCCAGGTGCCTGGAGCGGGGTCATGCCAGGTGTTCCCAACAGGAGCAGAAAAGCCAGGATATACCAGCAGCAAAGCCAGGATATACCAGCAGGAAAGCCAGGATATATCAGCAGGAAATCCAGGATATATCTGCAGAAAGCCAGGATATATCAGCAGCAAAGCCAGGATATATCAGCAGCAAAGCCAGGATGCAGCAGCAAAGTTTCTCCACAGCAGAAGGAACAAGAACAATTCCAGAGGGGGCTGCAGGTCCCTGTGTTCCTCCCCAGCTCCCAGCAGGGCATTTTGGAGGAGTTTTGGGACTATTTCAGAGCCAGAGCTCATCATGGAGCTCCACACTCCTCCCTCCAAGCCTGGAAAGCACAAATTCCTACAGGAAATCACTGTGAACAAGGAAAGGCTGCTGAGGGCTGGGAAATTCCCTCCTGGAACTCCAATTCCATCCAATTTTAGGGTTCCTCCCGTGCCATTCCCAGCCCTGCCTGCTCAGCAATCCAAGGGTTTGGGTCTCCTCAGCAGGAACCAGCAGGGCATGAACTCCCTGCTGCCATCACCTCGTGCTGTCCTTCATCCCAAAAAGAATTCAGTTTTGCTTGGCGGTTTTGGTCTGGTTGGGGTTTTTTTGTCTGTTGGTTTGTTTGGTGGGGTTTTTTTTGTTTTGGTTTTTTTGGGTTTTTTTTTTTGTCTGGTTGGGATTTTTTGGTCTGACTGGGATTTTTTTTGGTCTGGTTGAGATTTTGATCTGGTGTTTTTTGAGTCTGACTGGGTCNGGCCTTGGGCACTTCCAGGGATCCAGGGTCAGTCCCAGCTGCTCTGGAAAATCCATCCCAGCCCTTCCCACCCTCCCAAGGAACAATTCCCAATTCCCAATCTCCCATCCATCCCTGCCCTCTGGCACTGGGAGCCATTCCCTGTGTCCTGTCCCTCCATCCTGTGGAATTTTCAGGCAACCCCAACAAGGGAAGAGATGAGAATCTAAACTCCATGCTTCAGAAGGCTGATTTATTATTTCATTATATATATTATATTAAAAATGCTATACTAAGACTACACTAAAGAAAGAGAAATTATTTAATCAGAAGGCCAGCAAAGAAAGGAACAATAAATTCTTGTGACTGCTCAAGATCAAAAAAAATATAGATTGTAATTTCATTTGAAATTGAAATGGCACCATATACTTGGCTTTTGGCATGGATAATGGAGCCATGGCTTTAAAAGGTTTTATTAAATTAACTGAAGTTCTAATTGCAATCATAACCTCCCTGCCTGGACTGCTCACAGCCTCGGCACAGCTGGCTGTCATTGGTCAAGTAAAGACAATTCACATGCTGGGTAAGCAATTCTCCACATCACATTCCAAAGCAGCAAAACATGGAGAAGATGAAGCCTCCCAGCTTCTCAGGAGAAAAGATCGTAGTGAAAGGGTTTTTCAGAAAATATGTCTGTGACACCATCCCTTGTCCCCAGCCCCTCTCCAGCTCTCCTGGAGCCCCCTTAGGCCCTGGAAGGGGCTCCAGGGTCTCCTTTCCCTTCTCCTCTCCAGGTGAGCACCCCCAGCTCTCCCAGCCTGGCCCCAGAGGGGCTCCAGCCCTGCAGCAGCTCCGGGGCCTCCTCTGGGCATCTCCTCATCCTCCCTGTGCGGGACCCCTGGCCACAGAACAAAGACAGAAAAAGGTGCCAAAATAAGTACAATTTTCCTCCTTCTCCAAGCAATGGAATTTAGGGGTTTGAAGTCTCCTCTGACTCTCTCTGGCTGGATTTAGGGCCCACAAATTCCTGTTTTCAACAGGCACGGGAAGCAACTCCATCCCTTTCTTCCTCCAGCATCTCCCACACCCTGACCAAACTTCCCCCTTGTCCTGCATCCCTCCATCCTTCCTTTCATGGCTCCAGCCAAATTAATCCCAATTTTTGCCTGAGCATCCAAAAGCCCAGAGATGAAATTTGATGGAATCATCAGCCTTTCATCACATCTGTGGTAATTCCAGGGAACCCTGATGATCCCATCCACCTGCTCTTGGACACCTCATTATCTGTGTGGGAATGTTCCAGAACAATTCAGTCCAGAATTTGGACACCTCATTATCTGTGTGGGAATGTTCCAGAATAATTC